TGGGAATCAAATTCGCCGGTATCGAGCTCAGTCCTTGCATCCTTGACACGGCGGGAGACATAAAACTGCCTTGCACACGCACATAATAACATGAGAACACAACGTCGAAGATAACGGCGCGGAGTGTCGCAAGATTGTGGCTAAAATAGCGCAAAGCTCGCGGGCGTACGCCCTTGCCAAGTGCTTCGAAATGACATTCACGCATTACGCGTAATGCATTATTTATTACGCGTTATTTAATCTTGAGATTCCTTGCGATTTAGCGTCGTCTCAGGACCTTTGATTGAATAAATGAGTCAGCCACCAGTCGGATTCACTCACGAGGAGAATCGCTCGCCAAGACGTCCGGAACAAGTGTCACGCCTTTAATGAATGATATTTGATGATTTTCTGTCCCAAGAAAACAATCAAAAAATCGGAATCCTTCAATTCTGAAGCCGGTCTTTCTATGAGCGATATACTACGAATTAAAAAGACAAGACTCTCGCTCACATTGAACAATTTAACACTAGGATTTTACGAGGTGCATATCTTCCAATAGCTTCCAAAATTTGTCTCGATAACAAACAATCACGACCGATGGCCGATGTCAACTGAGCGAGCGCTGAACCAGAGCTGCTAGATTGAGTTTACAGCATGCCACACAAGCAAGCAACCCGTGTGTACGTGTGATCGCGTCTAGTCGCGCCACTTCGACTAGTGTGGCTAGTGTGGCTAGTGTCGAGCGGAGTTAAATGCAACAGAGAGTCAGTAGTACCAGAGAGGAATCCAAGAGTGGTTACACCGGCCTTTTTTGTGACACCATAGAAATCGCCGTACACTACTGCCATCAACGTCTATAATTGAATCGTGGAACTACAAATCACATCTATTTTGCGACACTACCGATAAAATCATGTCTCGTGAAATAGATGCGGTGCGAGTCCATGCTACATCGACAATTTTAGATGAGAATGTATATATAATTATATATATATATATTTACGTTCGCGTAATTTTTCTTTTATTATAAATTAAAGTTAGTATTGATTAACATTGACATAAATATATATATTCATCAACATATTAATTTTTTATGTAATTTCTTATTACATGTAGGCGATTTTTTTCTTCAAAGTTGACTTAACTTCCTATATAAGAAAAAAATGCGAAAATTATCCTTTTAATTATTTTTCATCTTCGCATTACTATTATATTATAACTATTATATTATAAACAAAAATTTTACAAAAGAAAGAAACTAATATGAACTAATATCCCCGCGAGAAATATTAATGGAATCGACGTCGAATTGACATCGAATCGATGATTTTCTTTTATTATAGACTAAAGTATTGATTAACATTAACAAAAATATATACATTTATCAATGTATTAATTTTTTATATATTTATATACATGTAACATATAAAAAAGATTTTCTCCGAATAAAAACATTGTTCGTTAAGAACATATACAGGGTATCCCAAAAAAAATGGCCAAGCGGTCATATGCAGGTAGAGCAGACTAAACTGAGTCGAAAGTCCTGTACTATTTTACAATTTTCGCAATAGTTAATAATTTATTACGCACGAGTTATTAATTTGAAAATGTCAAATGAAAATAGTCAAATTACAAGCGCGCGATGAGATAAAACCGCCCAGTGAGACACGCATTCGCCGTTGCTAGGCACGCGTGGAGCACAATTAGGCGCACATAACATAGATACATAACGTAGATGAAAGCGTAACCAATGCCGTTTGCAATCAACAATTCCACGCGTGCCTAGCAACGGCGAACGCGTGTCTCACTGGGCGGTCCTATCTCATCGTGCGTTTACAATTTGACTATTTTTATAAATTAATAACTTGTTAACAACTTGTTAATAACTTGTTAACTATTGCGCAAAATCGCAAAATAAGAAGGGAGGGTGTGCGTCACGGCAGGGCCCGAACCAGTCGTGAAAACTCATAATTATTTTGCGAAAAAATATCACCTCAGTCAGGAATCGAACCTGGATCTCCTGCTTATCAGGCATCTTATCCCTTCGACTATCGAGGCATGTGATAATACTTATCGCAAATAATGTATTTAAAATAACACGTCAACAATACAATGATACATATATATACGTATATTACAATATACATATATACATTCTTTCGAATCCCCACGACCGGTACTTCAGAGAGATGATGGTCCTATTCTCTCAATGGATGCAGATCGGACTGCAACGGCGACACCCTCCAACGCCATTAGCAAATATACAAATAATCCTCCTGGAGCACGACAGGAGAGATTGCATCAAGCATGGCTCGAGCCCCCGAAGTACAGAACTTTTCGACTCAGTTTAATTTGTTCTACCTGCATATGACCGCTTGGTCATTTTTTTGGGACATCCTGTATATAAAGATATATAAATATATATTATTATATACGAAATTTGTCCGTAGCGAGAAAGGATAATGGATGGATAATTCTCCTTTTTCATATGTTCATCTACAATGAGGAGCATAAATGAGATCCTTTTTCGGTGTAGCTAGGAGTAGATGAGCGCGTCATCCGTGGATTGTTGTTGCACCTACTTTCTGAGGACCAGCGTCAAAGACCGAATCTCAGTTTCTGCATATTGCCCGCACGTAAAAGACTTTAATACAATGATGCTGGTCCCCGGAAAGTAGCAATGATAATTCACGGATAATGCGCTCATCTCCTAGCTACCCTGAAAAAAGACCACATTTATGTTCCTCATTGTATACTCATTGTATGCGACAATGAGTTCGCGTGATCCCGCCGGAGCTTTAACTTATCTGCCTGATTTACTCAGGCAGGATCAATAACATCGATAATGTTGAAGGAGATTGAAATTAAGATAATTAACAATACATAGGTATAAGCCGAGTAACTTTCAAGATTTTCAACGTAGTGGTTCTATAAATAAAAAAAAGGGGGACTTTAATCGATATCAATAATATTGATCATCGAATTATTATAGAATCACTACGTTGAAAGTCTGCTAAACCAAAGCGGCACGTGATGGGTAATATAATTAATTGAATTTATTTCATATTAAAAAGACTTTAGCAACCAAGATCCTGCTTGCCGAGGAAATGCCATGTTTCGCGTTGTAGTAAGATAATTAATTAGTAAGTAGCGAGTAATTTATTAAAATTAATAATAAGTTTCTCAAAGATATTCTTTTATTAGAAATAAATTTATGCGTATCCGAATAATCGATCTAGTATTCAATTCTAGTGTGCAATTATTTGCTGTTATCGTCTTTCCAACGAATTGCTCAAATTTCCATTTCCTTATACATTATTTAACTATTTATTACAATCTGTTGTTTATATCTATTTGAATAAATGTTTAATTCAAAACGCATATATTACGAATTATATATTTATACAGATAAATATATAATTCGTAATATATGCATTTTGAATTCGTAAAGATGCATTGACCTGTAACATGACGGAGATATAATTCATGCATTTTTTAAATTAGAAAAAGAAAGAAAGGTGAAATAAATAAAAAATTAGTTATTATTTTTATTATTTATTATTGCATGTGTTCCTTTCGATGTGCACCTTTCCGAAGCGCGCGCGCGCGTTCAGCATTATCGACGTTATCGATCCTGCCTAAGTCGATAAATTAGAGTCCCGGCGAGATCACGCGAATCATTGTCGCGTAGTGTACATATGTATCATGTATATCTGTCTTCTGTTTGACGCTAGCCGAAATGGCGCGACTCGGCGGGAGCACGTATACAGGCTGCTCGCTTGTATGCTCGCATGCTGTAAGCTTCTCAAATCTGATAGTTCTCTACTGAGTGATACTTCAAGAATAATAGCAATCGTCGAAATATAAAGCGACTATTCGTTACATTTCTAATGTTAAGGGTCGACAGGAGAGATTATGGAGATCTTTATCGGAAATAAATTCCTTTTCACCCATATTACGGCCAAAATGTTGCAAAAAAAAGCTATATAATTATGATATTTATAATCAGAATATTTGCCTGACGAAAGCTACGGAACAATTTTTGTAAGAAAATGTGTGAAAATAAATAATTCATTTATGCATAAATAGATTTGCACTATAGGGCAATAAGGTGCAAATATTTTTATCTATTGTAAATTTTTTTTAAGTCAAATTGCAAAATCCGGCTCTGTAGAAGTCATAATTTTAAAAAATACGTAGAAAAAGATTCATGGCAGAATATTGCTTTTACGAGATAATATATGGGTGTACTCAAATATATATCTGCACTAAATAAGGAGTAGATAGTTACATTTATTTTAATTATTTAAGAGCTAAATTGCAAAATTGGCTCTATAGGTAGCTTCGTAATCGTAAAAGAAATTATCTTAACAAAGTTTCATGACGAAACATCGTTACTATAAGACAAAATATAATTGAGTACAGATACATATCTGCATTGTAAATAAGTAGATAATCATTTTAGATCAAGTCGGAGTTAGCCCGTCACTCTTGCCGACCCTTAACCGATAGTGTCAGTGAAACGTACCATCCTTGTAGATTTCTTCATTAACAGTTCATAGTGATTCAAATCATATGGATTAGTATGCAGACTTTGTGCAAAGTAATATCTATATTATCTGATTAATACAGATAAAATTATCTTCTGGGAAAAATTGAAAACAACGAACCATGTTCATAAATTTTGCTAATTAAATCGTCGATTAATTGGGACAAATTAATTCAGATTTAATCAAAAGACAAAGTATAAATCAGACGTTGAAACAAAATAATACTCTTTGTTATTTAACAGCAAATATCTGTACAAGTTAGGCACTCGCATGTCAGAATCATTCATACAAAGGTTCATATACATAAGTCTTGTACATTGGATGTGTTATATC